TTTCAATTAGATTTCACAAGCCTTTGCCACATTGCACAAACCATAACGTGGTCTGCAACTGAGAAATGAGAAAACAGAGATTAAAACTGACTGCTAATATTAAGGAGAACTAGTTATAGGAACTGAAACAATGGTAAAAGATAACTGCCTCTTCTTTAAACACTTAAACAGGGAAACATTCTCCCCCAGGTTTGAAAATCCTTCTGCTATACGCTTAGGAAAATATATGGAAAGACTTTCCTTGCTGGTAACTTCATTTAAATTCCAACAGTAAGGCTAAGGGTAAATTTAGAGAAAAGTTTTTCTCAGAAGCAGAGCACTAGGAAAGTGATTATTCTGTTGGTAGGAAGAAGAGGTAGTGGGAAGATGAATGCAGCAGGATTTTTGCTGCCTTATCAAACTAGAATGTCTCCTGCAAGCTAAGAAGATGCTTTCAATAGCTGGCTCTACCAAAGAACTTCGGACAATTCGTTCTTTTTTTTTTTTTTAAATTTTATTATTATTAGTTGTCATTCTTTGACATGATGAATACTTACAGCAGTATGTTAAAAAAGATACAGTTGAGTCTCTTGGCATCACTGCATAGCAGTCACAGCATTTTCACACAATCTAGTGCTTCCTTTCAGAATGATGCATATGGCATATATACGCACATATGGGGGCTGGTTCTTGGTCCCAGTGAAGTTGGTGGGACCAGTGCTTGGCCCGTAGATTTGTATAAGATACGTGAGTATGCATATATAAAACGCTTTACAATAAACATGACATATACAATCTTGAATTCAAAGATAAGCAGAATATATTTTACATCCAAGTCAAACTTATGCTCTGCACTTGAAGTTTATGTACCTAAAATATTGGATGGATTATAGAAACAATAGAATAATAGTTTGCACCAATCAAAGTAATTTGGATACATATTAATGGCATGAAGCTTGCCTTGGGTTCTTGTCTGTGTTTTGGGGTATCTTTTTTGCATTGCAGGATCTTAAGTATTGATTTTTGTGGGCCATGAGCAGGGGATGGTGGTATCAGGAGGGGAATGGGAGTACTTCATGGACAACTCAGCTGAGTTAATTAAATTATAAGTTGTGGTTGGCACCATGACTGATACCTGAAAATAAAATTGTAACTACTTGAGTGTTTCTCCTTTTCAAAGAGAGTCCACTTGGAAGGTCTGGTATGCATTCTGTTACTGTTTTGTTGGAAACTTTTGGTAGAAATTTCAGCTGCAGATTGGAAAAGCTAATGGGATAGCTACGCAGTGTAAAAATGGGCTTATCTCATTTACTGTGGTAGCAGCCTTCTCACTGATCGTTTGGGGACACTTAGATTTTATTCATGAAAACCAATAGTTTATACAAAAATAATGGACTCATGTTGTATATTAGGTTAGATTAGACAACTGCAGATCATCGGGGGGTTTTTGTGGTTTTTTTTTTGTTTTTTTTTTTTTTTTTCCCTCAATGGATTCTACTTTATTTCAGCTACTTCTCTCTCTGTTTCTGTTTTTCAAAGGCACACAGTAGCCCTCTTCTTCACCTTTGGCCGGTGGCTGGAACGCTGGCTCTTAAAAACTCAAAGGTAGGTACACTTTAAAATTATGCATATGTATGCATTTTCATTAAGTAACCAGCCTAAAATAGTTTTACTTAACACCACTTTATTTTATTATTATTTATACAGATTTGCCTCCAATTGTATGAAATCTCCATTTCAAGAAACTAGGTTTTAATCAACATAATTGTATTTCTGAGGCATAAAAGCATTTTAAGCTCCTGCTTTTAGCAGTTTTCTGCTTTGTTCTTTATATGAAGAAGCTAACTCGGTTTTAAAACTTCAGAATCTTTTAGCTGCACTGGCTCAGTAAGAAAGAAAAATAATTCACAAGGGCTTTCTGTCATGTGGCAAATTGGGCTGACAAGGCAGAAATCTGTATTACCTGCATAGATGTTTTTCTGTTCTGTGCATCTAGCATTCTGCTGGCATCCTGGGCAGAAAGCCCCGTACAGAAGTAAGTGTCCTCCAAAACAGAGAATACCAAAGATAAATCAGAACTGCATATAGTGAGCAGCGGTGCTGTTGGATTGGCTGTATCAGGTATGGTTTGGCTGCATCTATGGGAAATCAAAGGGCAGCATTTTGGGTTACGGACCCCAGTGAATCTGGCTGCCAGGCATCTGCTGCCAGAGCTGAACTTTTCAGTGCACTTTTGTCTAGAGCACCTGAGGCAAACTGGCCCAGACCCAAACTTTGGTAATGGGTTTGGCTCACAAGTACAGAAGCATTTCTGGAGCCAACCTGAACCTATTTCAAGCATTGTTTCATTAAACAAGGTGATTGAAATCTAGCAAGTACATCTAGTGCACCACAAAACCCCCACAACCTGTTCATTTTAAGAGCAGCTTTTCAAAGTTTGGAAGTTTTAACCTGGTAAGAGCAGACTTGTAATGGACCCTGTCGGTTCTAATTACAGAAAAGGTCTTGGTGGTGGTGTATCTATAACAGAACTTGATTTGTACCTAAGCTTTCCTGTTGGATGCATTTTCTGAAAGCTGCTCAGAAATAGCTCAACCATAGATCTGTGAAGAGCTTTTTATGCTGCTAGACAATGGGTTTAAGAAAACTTCAGAACATTAAAAAAAATTCTTTGAACTAGATGGAAAATGGCTTCCATTTCTCAGTACAAAGACAAACCAAGGGGAATTATATCCTTTTGTATGTACTTAAGTGCTTCTATACAGCACATTATGTTGCTCATGTAATGTCCTAATAATTGTTCTAAATCTGTTAGGAGAAGGAAAGATACACCTAAAAAGCTGCAAAGTGAGATGTTCCCGCCCCCACAATCAGGTGGTTAAAAAGACATTTATTCCTCTAGTTAGAAATAATTTTATTCTACTACAATTCTCTCTCTTTGCTTGTTTTGGTACTTATAATACGTGAGTCTCATTTGGAAGAGGGAGGAAGAAGAATGTTTTCTATTTCTTATAGCTTACAAAATATTAGAGAAGAAAACCATTGTTTTCAGGATGCTTTGTGTTCTCACAGTGATTTCCAACTTCCTACTTCATGGGTTTTCAGTCTCTTTGAAGATACATGTCCAGTGAATTAGTAGAGCAAAACATCCTTTACTAAAATGTATGCTTTTTATTTTCCTTTAAACATATTAGTCACCTTATTAGCGTGAACACTTTGTCTAATCAAGTCAATATTCCTTTTAGTCGAGAAAAGTTCTATTGTATCTGCTCTAGAATTTTTTTGAGTAAATTTTGTGTTCCTCAAACACCGACTTAAACAGCTCTTTGTTGGAGTCTCCAAGGTATTCAAGTCCAAACATGTTTATATGGCCATATCTGCTAGTTCTTTTGGAAAACAGCTATACAGATTTGATACATCAAGTAAGTACACTATGGGCTCACAAAACCACTATCTGTTACCTGAATGCAATTAGTTTTTCTAGGAACAGAGGAAAAGGCAACAGTCAGTTTGGTTCAATGCTGTAGTGTCCGAGAATATAATCAAATTGAAATAATGGAAACTTAACTAAAGTTTTATAATCCAATCTGAGGTTGCTTCTGGCACAGGTAAGGCCATGTAGCTTTCACAAACACAAGACCATAGAAATTTCCTCAGCTGCCATGATAGCTAAGAGGATTCTTCTTCATTGTCTGACTACAACATGTTTTTTAACTTCTTTGAGTGAGACTGATCTGAAAGTTCAAGTATGGTTTTGAATGAAAAGGAAAACACAAATGCATGTTGATGCTGGCTATCTAAGGAGAGAATGTGGGGGGAAAAAAAAAAATCAGCTACACTGCAAGATCACTCGAGAAAACAACTGGACTCCAGAACTATTAGAATGTTGAGCTTTGTAGATCACTGAACTATTTAATAAAAATTCACACTCTTGAATTAGGTTGAACTGTTAAATTATGTGGTGTTGCTGTGGTTGTTTTGCCTTTTTTTTTTACTTAAAACTTCAGGCTCTGTGAAGCATTTGCCCAGACCAAATGTGCAAGGTGCCATGGATTAACAACACGGACCCATATGGAATGTGTTTGAAGTTTTCAAGAAGTTATCCTGCCAGACTTCATTCCTTAATGACCTTTAATACACCTTGGATAGTGGAAAGGCAGTTCAGAATCGTATCCTGTGATCACATGATTTTGGCAGCTATCAGAAGATGAAGGATGCTAAAAGTTAAGGCTTTTATCCACAAACAATGGTGTATATTAATAAACTCTATACCATATTTACAAATGCTTTCTCTTGTATTAAAACTAACAGTATTCTGTTCACAGTGCCAATGTTTTTACAGGTTGCAATCCCACAGTACTCCAGTATTTTGGCATGGGAATCAGTAGCGTTCTGTATTTACAGAAAATGTACACATATGAATATAAACATGTTACTTGAAACAGTACTCAAAAGATAGATCTGTTTGTGTTTCAAAGGTTTAGGCTGTACAACACCTTCCCTTTCGGTTGCGAGGGAATACTGCTCCTTGCAATGAGAAGATGCCCGTCTTTTATCCAAAGTGGCATAAAAATGATTACCAAAATGAGCCTTGTAACACTGGAATTGTGTATACAGAGAGTAACTTCAGCCCAAGGTTTATAGATCTGTTGTTTAGTGCACAGAATACAAAAGTTAAAAAGGTTTCTGTTTCAGTTACTAAAATAAGCAGACCCTCTCTGCCCTCTGCAAGCGCTGTCTCACTCGGCCAGTGTCCTCTGGATGCTGAAGATGCTGGTGGTTTGATGTGCAGTGCAGCCCAGCCCCAGCCTGGAAAGCGCCTGGCGCCCTGGGCCCAGGGGCACGTGTTGCTCCTGGTAAGCAAGAGAGCCTGCGCCTCCCCAGTTCCCCCAGGAGCCCCCCAGCTTCAGGGCAGGTGCCGCCGGCTGGGACGCCGCCTTCGGGCAGTCCATGATCAGAAGTGACGAATGGCATCAGGCGTGCGCACGATGGAGGGAAGGAGAACGAGAACTTCACAACGTGAAGGAGATCTGGAAAGGAACCCAGCAGAGCCCTGGGCTTGTTGGCGAGGGCCCTTGCAGCTTCTGCTGTGCCACGCCTTCCCTTTCCACAGTCTTGACAACAGGCCTCTAGCTCCACGGGGTTTTGATGCCGCTGTGATCAAGACGGAGATAGCAGTGCTATAAGGAAAAGTGCAAAGCTGCCACTAAGGGCCCTCTTCCTTATTTAAAGTCTGTTCTTGGCTGCCAGTTACTTGACCTGAGTGGTCATTGCTCCTGCTACTGCTGTGTTGCTTGTGCAGCAAACTCCTCCACTTGGCCTTGTTCCTCCTGAGATGGTTTAGCATATTTTCAGACAGGGGGGTATCGCCTGTGAACTGGGCCCACCTCTCAAAGAGTGGCTCTACGATGTACGTCATGAACCCTGGGGAAACACACAAAGGACAGCAGGTGAGGAACAAATTTATTCCACGAGTGCATTGCCCCATAGAGTGCCTCAAGAGGATACAGCAATATAAGCAGAAAAACCCTGATGAGAAGCAACAATAAACCCTCAAGCAGCTGTCGGCTCCTTTTGAAATGTACAGCTTTCGGCCAGTGCATGTGACAAGATGTGGCTCCATCTATACGTGTAGCAGTCAAATCTGTGAGAGACTGCATCCTTCTCTGAGATTTCAGACTAGAAAGTGACCAGTGTTAAACCACCTTGACTGCCATTCTTCTCCACAGATACTACGATAGCCTCTTTTTTTCCCTGTGCAATGACTCCTTTGTCTTCCTATTGAGTGCTTGGCTTGGGTAGGCTTTTGAACGTTTTTATTTAGAATGTGAATCATGACTCTTAGAGTACCTGCAGTTCTTACTGTTAAAACAACTCGATGGGGGGTGGGGTAGGGAGAAAAGTTTCTTTCAGAGAATGGCAGGGGTTTGAAGGGACCTCTGGAGATCATCTAGTCCAACCCACCAGCCAAAGCAGGTTCCCCTAGAGAGGTTGCACAGGAACGTAAGTCCAGGCAGGTTTTGAAAGTCTCCAGAGAAGGAGACTCCACAACCTCTCTGGGCAGCCAGTTCCAGTGTTCCGTCAGTCTCTCAGTAAAGGAGTTTTTCCTGATGTTTAGGTGGAACTTCCTGTGTTCCAGCTTGTGTCCATTGCCCCTTGACCCCTAACCTTTAGATATTTATAAACACTGGTAAGATCCCCTCTGTCTTCTCTACTCCAGGCTAAACAGCCCCAAATCTCTCAGCCTTTCCTCATAAGAGATGTTCCAACCCTCTAATCATATTTGTAGCCCTCTGCTTGACTCTCTTCAGTAGTTCCCTGTCTCTCTTGAACTTGGGAGTCCAGAACCTTCCTCAACCTGCTGATCACACTCTTCTTAATGCATCCCAGGATCTCATTTGCCTTCCTGGCCACAAAAGCACATTGCTGGTTCACAGTTAACTTCCTGTCCACCAGGACTCCCAGGTCCTTCTCTGTGGAGCTGCTTTCTAGCAGCTCAAGCCCTAACCTGTCTAGCTCTCGATGAATGGCAGCACAGCCTTCTGCTGTGTCAGCCACTCCCTCCAGTTCCGTATCACCAGCAAACTTGCTGAGGGTGCACTCTGTCCCTTCGTCCAGGTCATTGATGAATATGTTGAACAAGACTGGACCCAGTGCTGACTCCTGAGGAACTCTGCTAGCTAGAGGCCTCCAACTGGACTCCGTGCCACTGATCACAACACTCTGAGCTCTGTCATTCAGCCAGTTCTCAATCCATCTCACTGCCCGCTCATCTACACACCCTTCCTCAGCTTACCTATGAGGATGTTAGGGGAGACAGTGTCAAAAGCCTTGCTGAAGTCAAGGCAGACAACATCCCTGCTCTTCCCTCATCTACTCAGCTAGTCATATCACCACAGAAGGCTATCAGATTAGTTAAGGACTATTTGCCCTTGGTGAATCCATGCAACCTACTCCTGATAACCTTCTTTTCCTCCACATGCTTAGGAGAGGTGACATCCAGAATGACTTGTTCTATCACCTTTCCAAGGATGGAGGTGAAGCTGACTGGACTGACATTGGCTTTCCTCCAGCTCTCAGACACCTCTCCCCTTCACCATGATCTTTCAAAAATGATAGAGAGTGGCACAGCACCGACATCAGCCAGCTCCTTCCACACTCATGGGTGGATCCCATCAGGGCCCACGGGTTTGTGGTTGTCCAGTTTGCCTAGATGATCTCTAATGCAATCCCCATCAACCAAGGGAGAGTGTTTCTTCTTCCAGACTCTCTCACCTCAAGGGACTGGGATGGCTGAGGGCTGATCTTAAAAGTAAAGACTGAAACAAAGAAGGCATTTAGTCACTCCATCTTCTCTGTATCCTATCGTTGAGCTTGTGCAAACTGAGATAAACATGGACAGAGGAGAATGAAACTAACACTTACCAATCTGTATGCTTGGTATTGTATCCTTCTGCTGATTACAAAGGGGACTTATTTCCAGTTCAAATTTTTGCTCCAGATCACCTAAAAGAAAAAAAAGAAGAGAACATAATTTTCTGCCACTTTCATCTCTTCTCCATACCTATGCCAGATTCTTACCATGACTGCAACTGTGTGGCTATGAGCAGCTGGAATCTTCCACCAATTACAATCGTATTAAATGCTTAAATATTTTTATTTTTTGGACTTTTTAGGTATCAGAGAAACTGAGCATATCCATACAGATTAAAATCTCTTTAAGGAAAGATGACTCTTGAATCAACACTAAATCTGAGCGTTTAAGTGTTCTGAGGACCTTAATTTCTACGACATATTCTCTCACACATAAGATTTATAAGACATTCTAGTTCATTTACTCACTATTCAAATCTCTTCCTGCTAGAAAACTGCAGAATATAAATTTTAGAAGAAATATGCCTCCGTTACTACTCTAGTGTGAGTTTCTACTGTGTGCTTGTGGAAATCATAGAATTGTGGTTGTTAAAGGGCAGCATGATGGAGCCTGGCAGTCTCCAGCTGTGGCTGCACTAACCAACTAACAAGGGTCAGAGCATGGGCTCAGGCAACGTGTGCTCACGTGCCAAAAGCCACGGAGCTCGTGTTATGGATGTGGAAAAAGGATGAAAGTAAGTGTCTATTGTCTTATTGTGGTGTACCTGGGTACCAGGGCTACGCCTGTGCTGCTGTACTCAACTTGCATCACTGATTCCCTGGGTGGTCCAGGAAGTCCCCAGAGAGTCATCTACTCAAGACTGACTTGAGACAGCAGACAGACGTAAATCAAAAGTGGTTGACTGGACTCCTAGTGACTTTGTAGCAGAATATTTGACTAATTGGAGCAAGAGGTCTTGATGCAAATTCGGGACCATGGGGTCAGTTTCAAATTGTTGAAGAACAGCCTGACTGGGAGATCTGATCACTCCAGATGCCACCTCAGACTGCTCCTCCTGCAGAACTGATCAAGTTTGGCATTGAGCAGATGCTTATAAACAGTTGGTAGAAACTATTGCTGCAGAAGTGGCGATGCAAGACAGTCTTGTATACATAGCTAAGGCAGGTGAGACCCTGGAATGGGTTGCCCAGGGAGGTAGTTGAGGCCCCATCCTTGGGGGTCTTTAAGGCCAGGCTGGATGAGGCTCTGGGCAGCCTGATCTAGTGGGAGGTGTCCCTGCTCATGGCAGAAGGGTTGGAACTGGGTGATCCTTGTGGTCCCTTCCAACCCTGACAGATTCTGATCTGTTTTAGCAGAGGACTTTAGAGCCCTAATGGCTCAGTGTTTGGACTTGATGATCTTAGAGGTCCCTTCCCACCTAAATGATTCTATGATTCTATGTTTTATAGGTAGCTGAAGGTAATCAATAGCAATGACCGTGCGTATGCTGGAGTGGTCAGAGAGGAACATGGGCCAGCTGGATTTCAGAAATCAGCAGCAAAACAGCTCAGGGAGTCTCATTCACACCTTGCCACCCAGGCAATGATCACTTGTCCTGCTGGAGAATGCATTTCTCCACGCAATCAGTTACTCTAAGCAAAGATAGCTGTAAGAGTTAGGTTTTGGGCTGTTCAGGTTTTGTTTTAAACAAACACTGTCTTGTGACTGTTAGCCTTCTCTCAGACAAGGCCAGGCTACAGTCTTGGCTACTGCATGAGGTACAGGACCTTTCCTGTCTACAGTGTGGGAAGGAAGGGAGACTAGCCATGTGAAAGCTAAGATGTGCCACTTGCCCTCAGACAATAGTATTTTGTTTGTTTGATTTACTGATAGTGATGTAGTGAGGGCTGTTTAGGAAAAACTTTCACATCAGTAAAACAGACCCACTAGATCAGACAAAACAACCCCTAAAGAAAACATTTTGCTTTAAATCCACTGTTTTCATTTAAAAGCTCTTTTCTCCCCACTAATGGACAGTTTTAACTTAAATGCTCTCCTGCTACTCAGGCTCTCTAGCCCCATATAAAATACCACGTGCATTTTTAATCCTTGCCTTTCTTCTCTCTGCAGCATGCAATTTCTCCTTAGATGCAAGGGGGATACTTTCAATTTTAATTAGATACTTAGAAAATATCAGGGAAACGATTTTAGCTTCACAATCAAAGGGAACAATTCAGCAAAACTGAGACCAAGTAAGTTTGTCATGTTATCAAATCTACAGTTCGAGCATCCTAGTTTTTCCCTCTACTCCCTTCAAAAATTTTTGACTTAGAAAAAGCGTGTCTAACTCCAGTGACATCCCCTCTGCAGGTGATCTGGGTTGAAAACAGTAGACCTATCTGTCTGAAAGTGCTCATGGGTCACATTCTTGTCTTTGACAAGTCATTTACTTGATGAAAATAAGATTCTCCTTCACACAGTAAGGACTTAAGGGACAGTCCATTTTCTTATGTTTCAAGTTGCTGTAAAAATAACTGCATGAATTAGCTACTGAGAACTTCCAGGCTGAGTAAAACCTTCCAAGCAATTTTAAAACCTCACCAGAGCAAGTGATCTTTCATGTTGTTTAAACATTAGCCACTTTCTTGAAAGTTGTTTCTTAACAGTTCCAGTTTTATCTAAACAAATCAAGTTGCATTACCTACCCTGTGTTCCTAACTAATTTTTAAAATATCTAAGAACAAGTTAAAGTATTTTTTTTAGGAAAGGTTAATGTTAGGAGCTGCTGTAGGCATCAGGTGCTCCCTGAAATGTACCTGAGTTGTATATTTTATTTGTTAATACACGTAATGTAGATGCACTGGAAGACTGTAAGATCAAGATCTAACTCTATTAGAATGGCATTAGAAATGCTTGATACAAAAAAATGTGACAATTGTATGTGTTCTAGAAGGAAGATTAAACAAAGCACTATTTGTGCCTTGTTTACCACAAGATAACTGGGGTATTATCTATCTGCCTCATCTATAGTTGAATATCAAAACATGAGAGCTACGGTTTTCAAACTTTAAACTTAGTGACAAAAAAATACCTTCAAGCCCCAGCAGTTGTGTGTAAGAGGGTAGAGAGGTCTACAATAACATTTTGAAGTGATAATGGTATCTAAACACATGCTTTTTAATATTGGGTTTTGTATCACTTAAGCAAGATTACACAGCCACCAGTGACAATCAGACCACAGCTTCCATACATTCTCCCACATGAAATGCTCTTTTTCTCCCTGTTATGCTTCTAACGGGTCTCATATGCTCCAGTGTCCCCTTTCAGAGGGATATTTCAGATGTTACATTAATAGATCTTGAGTCTCAGGAAAAAAACTTGCATTTGCTGCCTTTCTCAGAGTGGTCCCTCAATACACTAAAGGTGAGGTACTGCACAACTGGGGCCCTGTCCTCATGACCTGGGTATCGATTATGCCTTGACTATACATCTGACTAAATAAACCTGCATCTGTCAGGTTGCTTAAGTTACTTGAAAAGCACCAAGGTCAAAGGCATTTCACCAGCTTAAACTGACACTGGCTGAAAATTAACTTGCTGACCTGTTTGTCCTTGTTATGGACTAACTGTACCAGGTACCAGTTCAGATGTGGCTTAATTCTGTATTGCAGACTTTTAAGTGAATTGAGAACTTCATAGTGTGCTCTTCTAGTGTTTGTACTACTTGCCTTTGGCTCTGAGAATGCTCTGAACAAAGAATTTAGCAGTGATTAAACTCTGCTGCACCCCGTGTTGTAGCACAGCATGACCTTGCCTATGCAGATAGAGCCAAATGGTGTAATTACTGTGTTTCAAAAAAAAACCTGCCTCGCTGCACTCTCTGCAGGGGTCTGAGAACATTTGCAAGAGGTCCTAGCCGAGCTTTGGCTTGCCTGCTTTGGCCCTTTCAACAGCATGCTGGGAAAGTGCATTTGAACCCCTTCTCTGTATTTGTAGGTAGAAGAATGTGTCATATTTAGGAAACAGCGAGGGTGAGGCTCCCATTGGAGTTGTAGTGGGAGCATGAAAAGCGAGATAAAACACAACGGACAGCAGTAGGACTGTGGTGCAGTGTGGCCCTGGTGCCATTCCAGCTCAGAAGCACTCGTGGTGGCTGGAGGGTTCTCAGCAAAGAATCCAGCCATGGGCTCTCCAGCCAAATTCAAGCGCTGAGGCACAGCAGAGCCCTCCCCTCCTGCCCGATGCTGCTACGGGATTAGCGAGGGCAAAGAAACACTTGCTGCTACCCATTCCCACTTTTCAGAGGAGGCTGAGCACCTCTTCAACAGCTCGTCCTTGAGCCTCATTTGGAAAGCAGGCATCAGTAGTTCAAGGCACATGGGGCAGGCTGAATGCTACCCCTGTCTTGCCACACAAAAAGCCTGGAAAGTGGGGGTGAAAGGGGACTGCCAGGTGTCAGTGGGGGCTGACCTTGCCGGTAGAACTCTTCGCAGACACGTTCGCTCCACTGTTTGCTCAGGTCCCAGAGCCGGCAAGGGTTGCAAATGTCTGCGCACTTGAGAGCGATCTGAAAGCAGAGAAGAAAAGTACACGTGAGAAAAGATGTCTCTATGGTCTTTATTATTATTACTATTATTATTATTTATTATTATTAGCAGTGCTTCAGCAGTCCATCTGCAGTCACAAAACTCCCAGGCCTCAGCAGCGATGCTGGGAAGGGTTAAGATCACCATTTAGAGACTCGATCTCACCCAAATATGCCTTTTGAGGAAAAAGCATTTGTTTAGGCTGCAAACAAAACTTTCATTCAGCCCTCCGCTTTACCATAGTGAGAACAAGGGGAGGGCCAAATTCCAAGGCTGCAAAGTGTTTTGGATATTCCTTACAAGGAATAAGCCAACAAAAGCTTCAGGCTGGCTCCTGCTGACTGCCTGGCTCAGCATTTGTGGCTGATGACAAGGAAGGTAAGAGCCAAGCTGGTGCATTTGGGCATCGTTTCTCTGTGGTCTCAGTGAGCGTGACCTTGCATCTCACTTTAATTTCATTTCAACTTAGTGTCTGCATATTTTTGTTTATAAAGCTGAGCGCAGGGTTCTCCACGCAGCCCCTGGCTTGATTTCACTTAGTGCTTGGTTCACTTAGTGCTTTTCAGT